TGCTTAGATCTTTAATCCATGTGGAGTTAATTTTAGTGTAAGGTGTAAGGAAGGGGTCCAGTTTCAGCTTTCTGCACACTGCTAGCCAGTTTTCCCAACACCATTTATTAAACAGGGAATATTTTCCCCATTGCTTATTTTTGTCAGGTTTGTACCCCAAAACTTAAAGTACAATAAACAACAAAATAATAACTAGGCAGGAAAAAAATTAAAAGATGAAGGTAGGAATTCACCAGATATGGCATTTACTGCTGGTATGGTATTTGCTGTGGTATTTAACTCTGCCTTTACCATGAAACCATGGCTGCCATGGTGATCTGCTTTGGATCTGTGTCCCCACCCAAATCTGGATCAGGCATGGTGGGTCAGACCTGTAATCTCAGCCCTTTGGGAAGCAGAGGCAGGCGGATCATTAGAGCCTAGAAGTTCCAGACAAGCCTGGGCAAGCAATATTGGGAAATACTGGGAAACCCTGTCTCTACAAAAAAAAAAAAAAGCCCAGGCAAGGTGGTAAGCACCTGTCCTCCCAGTTACCAGGGAGGCTGAGGTGGGAGGATTGCTTGAAGCCCAGGAGATCAGGAGACCCTGTCTCAAAACCAAAAACAAAACAGAAATACCCAGTGCTGGAGGGGGTCTTTGTGGGAGGTGACTGGACCACGGAGGCAGCTTCTAATGCTTTGGCGCTCTTCCTCTAGTGCTGTTCTTACGATCGGGTCCTCATGATGCTGGTGTATCACCTCTCTCCTCTCTCTCTTCCTTCTCCCACTATGTAAAATGTACTTGCTCCGACTTTGCCTTCCACCATGATTGTAAGATTCCTGAGCCCTCCCTAGAAGCTGAAGCCACTATGCTTCCTGTACAACCTACAGAACCATGAGCCAATTAAACCTCTTTACTTTAGAAACCAAAAAAAAAAAAAAAAAAAAGAATGCATAAAGATCAGGAACCTTTTTTTTTTTTTTGAGATGGAGTTTTGCTCTGTCACCGGGCTGGAGTGCAGTGGCTCAGCTCACTGCTACCTCCACCTACCAGGTTCAAGCAATGCTTGTACCTCAGCCTCCCAAGTAGCTGGGATTACAGGCATGCACCACCACGCCCGGCTAATTTTTGTATTTTTAGTAGAGACAGGGTTTCACCATACTGGCCAGGATGGTCTCAACTTCTCGACTTTGTGATCCACCAGCCTCAGCCTACCAAAGTGCTGGGATTACAGGTGTGAGCCACCACACCTGGCCAGAAAAATATTTTATAAAGAATAAAATGTCCTTTTATAGTAAGTATTATCTATTACAAGTTAATCTTAAAATTCAATTCAACATATTTAGGTAAAAACGGCAGTGCCTCAAATAAATACTGCTGTCTTTTTACACATGACCATGTTTATTAAGGATGTAGACATAAAAAGCTAGATTTGACCTTCATTTACAGCAGAACAATTTAATACTGGGAAGTAGATATTCCAGAAATGAGCCACCTTGTAAGACTCCAGTGAGTAACCCTAAGACTGGGCCCAGACTCCAGAGCCAACATGCCTGACACGGTCTGCAGCTCTGCCACCCACTGGCTGTGTAACTTTGGGCAAGGCTTCCGTGCATCGTTTCCACCTCTGTGAACACGCAGGAAGGGCCTGGCCCCCTGCAAGGCACTAGATAATGTCAGCTATTAAGATCACGTTTGGTGGCGGCCCTGTGAAAAGGCGTTTCTGCCACATGGCTCTGATGCATCCCTCATGCTCTCTCCCCTCCACCACATGTTCCTCTCATCATCTATCCCCTTTTCTGCTTCAGTGAATCTTCTTTCCCTCTCTTGGGGCACTTCAGGCTCATCTACAAGTCACAAACACCAGAGGCCTGGGACAGGCCCATCCTTCCAAAGGACTTCTGACACCTGAGCAAATGAAGAGTCTCCCAAATTGGTTCCTTTGAAACCAATTGCCAGTGGAAACCCGGATGCCTCAGAAACTAATTCCTTTCACTGTCAAGCGAAGTGAAGGTTTTTTCTAAATTTTCTATTCAAGGAACAGCTTGAAGTAGACACCCCCAGCACCACAGGGAAAATCATGGTCAATCTGAGCTCTCTTTGAGTGTTAAAGGAATATCACCAATATTCCCCACCCAGCTGGATGGGCCATTCCTGCCAATGCCCAGATGCACACCGCATGCTTCTCACACTCAGGATTCTTTCTTCGCCACCACTAGATCATGGCTCCTGAGGGCTGGAAAGGATTTCACAAGTCATCTACATCAAAGGTCAAAGATCCAAATTCCGAGAGACCCAGTCAGGTCGAGTCACAAAGGAACCAGAGCCAGAAGGTGTGCCCATGTGAAAAGGAAGAGCTGCCCCTGGCTCCGACTGTCACCGCAGGCCTGGGACAGCCAGACATTCTGAGAAGCTGAAAATTCAGACTTTATGTGTGGACCAAGCAAAACACATTCCAGAGATGCGGTTCCCACCTGCAAGCCTCAGACCCCCGAGATGTAAAGAGCTGCTACCCTGTGGCCACTGAATCCAGCGCTGGAAGAGAGACCAGACACCACAGTGCTCTTCCTGGGACCTATTCTGTGGATGGCAGAGACGGTGTGCCGGGAAGACAGACAAGAGCTCCAGACAGACATCACCTGTGGACTGCAGACACAGTGCCAGGAAGACAGACAAGGGCTCCAGACAGACATCATCTGTGGACTGCAGAGAAGGTGTGCTGGGAAGACAGACAAGGGCTCCAAAAAACATCGCCTGTGGACTGCAGAGAAGGTGTGCCGGGAAGACAGACAAGGGTTCCATACAGAAATCACCTGTGGACTGCAGAGACTGTGCTGGGCAGACAGACAAGGGCTCCAGACAGACATCACCTGTGGACTGCAGAGGTGTGCCAGGAAGCCAGACAAGGGCTCCCAGCAGACATCACCTGTGGACTGCAGACACAGTGCCAGGAAGACAGACAAGGGCTCCAGACAGACATCACCTGTGGACTGCAGAGACGGTGCGCCTTGCTCTTATAAGCCCTTTTTTTTTTTAACATAAAAGGACGCTGCAATTTTAACAAAACCAAATTTTATTTCCAAACAGCACTAAGCTGATGATTTTTCATTTCACATTTTCTTAAATGAGGAGATCCCAAAAGCACAGTAACAGTCACATAGGGTGCACAGATTTTATCTAATTAGAAAGGGGACTCCGGGCTTGAAGCCTTTGCCACCACCATCCGGACCCGTTCTGCCACTTGAATGGTGAGACTGGGAGGTGGTGTGACTTGCCCACAGTCACACAGCTCCTCGAAGAACAAGGAGGGAAAGCCAGGCTCCAAGCCCCATTCCCAGCTCCTTCACCTCCACCAGAGAGCAGGGACCCCGCCCAGGAGAGCCAACAAGAAAAGGCACAGCAGGATGAGAACTCCGAACAAATGTGATCGTAACACAGTTCTGGGCTGAGGTTTCCACAATCACCTCTTCAAAGTTCCACAGAAGCACAGAATTAGAAGGAGCCCGGATAGCGCCACACGCCAGCCCTACCTCCCAGCCGCCTCCTCAGCTGTGTCTCAGATGAGCTTCTTCCAGCCGCTGCTGGATGCGGACCTTGTCATCTCACAATGCTGGGTGACAACACAGCTTGAGAACTTAAATTCTTCCTGTTCCCACTCCGCTCCCCTGTGCTGGCCACTCCCTCCTGCCCTCTTCTCCAGCCGCTTCTTCCTCCCCACCCCCAGGCAGCCTCCGAACATCCCTTTCATAACCTCCGTCCTCTCATTTGCCGCATTTCCACAACCAGCTGGCTTCATTATGAACAAGATGCTATTCACTGACTTTTGATTCTTACTCTCGGTCTACAGGTATTAGTTAAGAAGGACTGGCTTAAGACGCCAGCACAGAGATTAAACACATGAAGGTAAGTCAAGACCAGGTCCTGGGAAGCCAGAACAGGTGTGGGAAAGTGGGGCATGCATTCCACTCAGGGCATCTGTGGCGACCGGAACGGATGGTGCCAAGCACAGATGTGTAAGCTGTGCACTGTTCAATTCCAAGGGCACCACTCACAAAGACCGAGTTACGAGTAGTGCCCTCCAGAGCTGTACAGGCAGCACAGGGAGGGGCCGGCAGGAATGCAGGTTTGGCCGTTGAAAGATCAAGCCTCTCGGTGATTCTGTTAGTTAACCATGACTGCCCCACGGAGCTTCTCCGACTTGAGTGTGTTACAGAACCACCTGGTAGCTTACCAAACCCGAGGACCACCCAGCCCTCCCCTGAAATTCTGATTCCTCAGCTCTAGGGAGGAACGAAGGAATCTGTGTGTTTCATTTGTTTGTTTATTTGATACAGAATCTCACTCTGTCACCCAGGCTGCAGTGCAGTGGCACGATTTCAGCTCATTGCAACCTCCCAGTTCAAGCAATTCTCCCACCTCAGCCTCCTGAGTAGCTGGGATTACAGGCACCCACCATCACACCCGGCTAATTTTTGTATTTTTAGTAGAGACAGAGTTTCACCATGTTGGCCAGGCTGGTCTCAAACTGCCGACCTCAGGTGATCTGCCCACCTTGGCCTCCCAAAGTGCTGAGATTACAGGTGTGAGCCGCTGTGCCTCACCCTGTGTGTTGCTTTTTACCAACCAGCCTCTTGAGAAACTCTAAACAACAAAGTTGAGGCTTAGGAGAAGAAAGACACTGCAGATGCCAAGACTGTGTTACCAAGGGGCAAATGTTTATATTTTTACGAAATTTAGTCCTTCGACCTCAGCCCTATTTTATAAAGAATACTATTTCTAAAGACAGCTGATGATGGCACACATGTACAATCCATGACGCAACTGCCTCTATAAACCCAACCCTGGCTGCTCCTTGTCACAGTTTTTAAGCACATTCAGACAGGCACCAAAGACACTGCAATGACATTACTATTCTAACGGCTCGCGAAATTTATGGCCACCGTGTGCCAAATCACAGGAGGCCCACATTCTACAGCTCCTCCCTACCAGCACGGCCACATGGCACACACTCGGACACATACCTTGTGCTCCTCCTTCATCACCTGCTCGATGAGTTCGGATTTCACTGGAGGCTTGGAATACTGGCCTGAGAGAAGGCCATGTCCTAACTTAGTCCTGGCCAGGGCACAGAAACAAAACAAAAAGGTCGTTGTTGTTCTTCCATAGTGATATTAAACGTGTTGATGAATTTCAGCGAGCACAGCTGCTGTCAGGTAGAGCATTTGATCTGGATTACACACAAATAACTTATTTATTTAATTCTGCTTCATACTGTTGCCAGTTTCAAATTTTCTTCAATACTTCGTAGATAATTTTATCTTCTTGGAAAAGTAACACTTTCTCATTTTAGAACACTTTTTAAAAATACATAAAGAATTGCCTTTCATTTTGCAACCCAGAGATAATCACTGTGAACATTTTATTGGATGCTTTTTCCAAAAAAAATATAATAATACAAATCTGGCACTCACATCTGTGTGTTGAAATCCTGCGTTGGATCTAAAGGCGAGTAGTCAAATATTCTGGGAAGGTTTCCTACATACCTAGAAAATGAGAGGTAATAGTTACACCACAGCAGCTGTAAGAAGAACAGCACCAAAACAAACCATCATTCTTGCTAAGACCACCTGACCTTTGGTCAGATTAAACAATCTACCTGAAGAAAAGTTTTTCCTGAGATCCCACCTCTACCACCACCCACGAAGCTTCCTGAAACGTTTTTGCTTCTATCAGTGGGTCTCAGCCCTCCTTGTGAGTTAGATTCACCCAAAGAGTTTATTTTAAATATACCAAAGCCAGAACAACCCCTAGATGTTCCAAATTCATTGCTTGAGAGCAAGGCCTGGGATTTGGAATTTCTTTTAAAAGTTCCCTGAGTGATTCTAGCATGCGGCCAGGGTTAAGAACCACTGGCTAAGCCATCACAATCATCACCTCTGTGACAATGCTGCAGAGGCCAGGTGCGGTGGCTCACACCTGTAATCCCCACACTTTGGGAGGGTGACACAGGTGGATCACCTGAGGTCAGAAGTTCGAGACCAGTCTGGCCAACCCCCATCTGTAATAAAAAATACAAAAATTAGCCAGGCATGGTGGCACACGCCTGTAATCCCAGCTACTCAGGAGGCTGAGGCAGGAGAATCACTTGAACCCTGGAGGTGGAGGTTGCAGTGAGCCAAGATGGCACCACTGCGCTCCAGCCTGAGTGAGACAGGAAGACCGTCAAAAAAAAGACAACAGTACAGTTAGCAACAAGACTCTACTTAAACCGAAACACAGGCCAGCTCCTCCGAGTCCTCTGCCTGACCCCCTTTCCTTGGGTTTCCCCGTCTGTCCTCGTGGATCAGTTTGAGAAAGCACCCTGCTAAGTCAGGTTAGTGAAAATCGCCCATGCTTGCTATCCAACCAGCCCGGCCTGCCTTCAGCAATAATCCCGCCAAGTCTGAGTAGCCAGAAAGCCCTTATCCTAGACTTTCCTCTTTGCGATTTTCCATCCCTTGCCCCACCCAACTCCTTGGTTATAAATCCCCACTCGACCATGTTGGAATCAGAGTTGAGTCCAATGCGCGCCCCAGTCCAAGGCCCTGTTGCCATGTTCCTATTCCTGCCTTAGCATCTTCAGCAAGTGTTTGGGTAATTTTTTTCTTTAACATTAAAAGTTGTTCCAACAATCTCAATGTGAGTATTAACAGTAATAGCAGCGACAGCTGCCATTTCCTAAAGGGCTTCCTGTATTAACCTGTTGAGTCTACATGGCAACCACCTGAGCAAGGGATTGTTGTTATCATTATCCGCATTTGAGAGGTGAGAAATTGGAATGCAAATTCGTTAGGCAGCTTCCAAAGCCTCCAAGACACCTGAAATCCCAGCACTTTTAGAGGCCGAGGCGGGATGATTGCTTGAACCTAAGAGTTGAGACCAGCCTGGACAACACAGAGACTCCATCTCTACAAAAAAACTTTTTAATTAGCTGGGTGCAGTAGGATGTACTATAGTTCCATAGCTGCAGCTACCTGAGAGGCTAGGGTGGGAGGGCTGCCTGAGCCCAGGAGGTCAGGCTGCAGTGAGCTCTGCTCGTACCACTGCACTCCAGCCTGGGGTGACAGAGCAAGACCCTATCTCAAAAAAAAAGCCTATCAGGGAGGGAGTAATGAGGCCCAGAATGGACCCAAGCAGCCTGGCACCAGGCCACGCTCAGAACCACTCTGCTGGCTGTGCCTGCTGTCCCTGTAATCCCTCCTGGCAAGCTTATCCTGACGGAGCAGTGCCAGCTCTAACACTGACCTCCAATCATCATGCACAATCACTCCTTCCACTTCTTCAATTCACTTCTGATTTCACACACTGTACTCTGTTATTCTTTCCCCGTTGTCTTCGACCTCTAGCCTGGAAGCTCCAGGAAGAGGAATCCGAAAGCAGACCCCTTTCTCCGGCCCTTCATTGCCCCCTCCCCCAACTTCTCTGGCCTCCTCTGCCACTGTGTCCCCCCAGCCCACAACATCCCCACCACTGGTCCCTCCTGCTGCCCCAGCACGTGACAAACTTGCTCATGTCTCAAGGTCATGCCTTCTGCTGTTTCTCTCCTGGGATGCTGTCTCAGAGATCCTTGTTCAGCAGCTCCTTCTCAAGTCTGTTGACAAGCCACCTCCCCAGACCCTTAGATAAAACAAGAGGGGCCGCCCTCACCATTCCTGACTCCCGACCATCTGCTCCTGACTGGCTCTCTTCTTAGCATGTCACCACTTGCAGCTTTATAATCTGCTCGTGATACACTGTGGCTGCATCTTCACCAAATCTCATCTTGAATTGTAGCTCCTATAATTCTCACGTGCGGTGGGGAGGGACCCAGTGGGAGATAAGTGAATCATGGGGGCAAGTCTTTCCCGTGATGTTCTTGTGATAGTGAGAAACTCTCACGAGATCTGATGGTTTATAACTGGGAGTTCCCCTGCACAAGCTCTTGCCTGCCACCATGCAAGGTGTGACTTTGCTCCTCATTTGCCCTCTGCCATGACTGTGAGACTTCCCCATCCATGTGGAACCGTGGGTCAATTAAACCTCTTTCCTTTATAAATTAACAGTCTTGAGTATGTCTTTATTAGCAGTGTGAGAACAGACTGATACATCTTGTTTAGTATCTGTCTTTCCAGAGATTATACACTAGAATGTAATCTCATGAAGGCAGCAACTTCATCTAAATCACTGCATCTCCAGCAGAAGAATAGCATCTGACATGTAAAAGACACTCTAAATATTTGTTGAATGAATACATTATGTCACACAATCACACAACTAACTTCCATAACTGATAACCAAACAGAAAAAGCATTATTGCAGTGAAGCCCCAGCAAAGAACCATGACACACTATTAGTTGGCAATGACCTCTAACTACTAGAAACTTCCAGGCACCCGCTGTCCACAAACTCAGGAGTTGTAGCTCAGACAATGTACCTACATCAAAATTAACAAAGCACGCTTCTCAGGGCCAGTCCCATTCAAAGGACAAACATAACAGAAGCCAAACTTCGGAGCTAAACTATTTAGATGCAAGGGCTCCGCTGAAGAATCCCAACATGATGAACTCAGGTGCTCTCTTCTGATCCAGTTTGAGTCACATCTCAAAACCTGACAAGACAAAAACCTCCCTGGAAAGGTGCACACTAATGAACAGACTGATGCTTTAAGGCAAGATAGAAAGAAGAGAAGAGGTAAAGAGAATAAACCTTTTTTTTTTTTTTTGAGACACTGTCTCACTCCCTCACCCAGGCTGGAGTGATATGGCAGGATCTGGGCTCACTGCAACCTCTGCCTCCCGGGTTCAAGCAATTCTCCTGCCTCAGCCTCCCAAGTAGTTGGGATTACAGGCGCCTGCCACCATGCCTGGCTAATTTTTTAGTAGAAACGGGGTTTCACCATGTTGGCCAGGCTGGTCTTGAACTCCTGACCTCAAGTGATCCACCCACCTTGGCCTCCCAAAGTGCCAGGATTACAGGCATGAGCCACTGTGCCTGGCCGACAATTTATCTTTGATGTCAGAAAAGTCCACTTTGCTGGCACCTGAGGTCACGGAGAAAAAGAGAGAAGTCCATTTTGCTATCACTATAGATCCCTTTTCTAACTGATGAAGAAAACCTTCCATTATAACAAAATTAAATTAAAATGCAGAAGCCATGCTAGATAATTTTCACAGCTGTTATACCTTCTGCTTGTAATCTGGCAATTCCTAAAAGGATGTAGCTACGCTATCTATCAATCCATCCTAGTTGTCATTCCATTGGTATACCAGTTTATTTCAATTTGATCCTCAATGAAAAGGATTCTGAAATGTAAACCAGGTTCAAGTGGCAGACTGAGGAATCAGGCCAAGTTCCCAGATCACACTACGACTGTTCATGAGCCACTCAGTCTTTCTGAGTCATTTTTCTTTTCTTTCCATTTTACTTTTCTTTAATTTTCTTCTTATTATTTATTTATTTCTTGAGATAGAATCTCACTCTATCACCCAGGCTGGAGTACAGTGGTACGATCTCAGCTCACTGCGACCTCTGCCTTCAAGCAATTCCCCTGCCTCAGCTTCCTGAGTAGCTGGGATTACAGGCGCCCACCACCACACCTGGCTAATTTTTGTATTTTCAGTTGAGATGGGGTTTCATGATGTTGGTCAGGCTGGTCTTGAACTCCTGACTTCAGGTGATCCACCCAGGTTGGCTTCCCAAAGTGCTGGGATGATAGGTGTCAGCCACCACACCCAGCCAACATATATTTTCCATTAAAGAAAAACCCAGAGAGTTAACTCTTTGTCAAACTTTGAAGTGTAGGGTGAATTTTTTTTAACTGCAGGTTGTAAAACACCAAGAGTTGTGTCGGGCTTCATAAGAAAAGAACACAAGTTTCTTTCATTCTAGTTTAAAAGAAACAATAATTATACTACTGCTACCAGAGGATAGTCCTTCAACAATTTCAAAAAGGATCTTGGAGCATAAATCATGGAAGATGGAGCTACGCTGCTCCCCAAATGATAACACAGGTGTGAGACGTGGGTAAAAATATATACAAATCACAGGGTTTCCTATCTGAGCTTCGACCTCACTCTGGCCAAAGCCCGTGTCTGCCCTCCTCCTGCATGTGCATCAGCTCTCCCTGCTTCACGGCTCGTCTGACCGCCTCCCGCCTTTCTCCTTCATGGAATGTGCCTCATTTATAAGCCTGCCGTTGTTCCTATGCCTCTTCTCTTGATGCTGTTTCTCCTCTTACTTCCTGCCTGGGGGATGAGGACCCCATCCTTCTGTTCACCACCCACCCCACACACTTGGCACACTGCTTAGCAGAAAAGAACTCACTCTATTGGCTGGATGAAGACATGAAAACTAGACATGGAAAATGAACCATGAATTTTCAAAGCGAGAAAACAGCACAAAGAGGTAAGTCTCCAAACACCAAGAGAGGAAAGAGAAGGGTATGTGACGTACTTTGGATCAGCTCCTTTAAAGCCATTAGGATTTCAACTCCACATGGGTGAAGCAAGAGCCTGGACTGTTCCTGAATGTTGTCTGCCTGTCTGAGCTCACACACGCCCTCGTCCACACTTAAACCACAAAGGAAACCTACCTCTGGAACACGCTAGGGTGACCCTCTGCACTGAGGCAGTGGCTGCCCACCAGGCCCAGCCCCCGGCTCTAGCCCCCGCCCTCAGTACAACCCGAGGGAGAAAACAGCCAGCCACAGACCCAGCTGCTGAGCCCCTCGGCGTGGGAAGAGGAAGGGTCTTGCACGGGCAGTCAGCGAGCACCTAAATCAGTGCCTCCCAAATTACTGTGGTAAAGGGGCACCTGTTTTGTTTCTTTCAACTCGGGCAGATGATACCTTTTAAAAACACAGTTAGTGAGGCTGGTTAATGGGTACAAAAGTATCATTAGAGTTAACAAGATCTAGTGTTTGATAGCACAACAGGATGACTAGAGTCAACAATAATTTGTTGTGTATTTTTAAATAACCAAAAGAGTGAAATTGGAATGTTCCTAATACAAAGAAATGATAAATGCTTGAGGTGTCGGACACCCCAATTACCCCAATTAATGTGATATTACACATTGCATGCCTGTGTCATTATATCACATGTACCCCATAAATATATACACCTGCTATGTACCCAGAATAATTAAAAATAAAAAAACCTGGCTGGACACGGTCGCTCATGCCTGTAATTACAGCACTTTGGGAGGCTGAGGAGGGTGGATCACGAGGTCAAGAGATAGAGACCATCCTGGTCAACATGGTGAAACCCCATCTCTACTGAAAAAACTACAAAAATTAGCCAGGCATGGTGGCGCACACCTGTAGTCCCAGCTACTCGGGAGGCTGAGGCAGGAGAATCACTTGAACCTGGGAGGCGGAGGCTGCAGTGAGCTGAGATGGCACCACTGCACTCCAGCCTAGTGACAAAGCGAGACTATATCTCAAAAAAAATAAAAAATAAACTTAATAGTGAAAAAATACAATTAAAAGAAATTATTAGAAAAGTGAAAGGCCGATTGTAAGACACAACAGCAACGTCAAATTGTCACGACAGTTTCCCCACACTCACTCCCCACTTCTGAACGATGCCAGCAGCACGAGGCCCAGCACTAGCTGCTGAGCCACACTAAGTAGCCAGCAGTGGAAGTCCCAACTCCCTGAGGAGACTCCAGCCCACCGTAAGAAAATCACTAACCAGACCAAACACGGGGTCACCCCCAGCACATCTGCAGGAGGGAACCGGCAGATCTGCTATGAAGATTAATGATTAATATATTCTTGGTACGTAGGGTGACGGTCAAAAAGCAGCAATCATTATTAATAACAAAGCCCTGTCCGGTGTTTTTCAGTTCACAAAGCTCTTCTTATCCCACCTGATCCCCATAATACTCGACAAGTGTTCTCACTCAGTCTCTGTAGAAGGTGGGCCTCAGAAAAGTGGCAAAAGGTCCTGAAGCCATAAAGATGGGCTTTCCAGTGTACTGAGCAGACCGGACCAAGAGAGGCAGGGCGGGGCTGCAGGGCTGGGGCTGCATGGGGGGCACTTACACCCTCTGGAACTCCAGGATGCTGGCTGGACCTAGAGGGGCAGGGCGGGGCTGCGTGGGGGGCACTTACGCTCTCTGGAACTCCGGGATGCTGAAGATGGCCTGCATGACGGAGCTAAGGTAGCAGCTGTTGCCCAGGTTCTTCAGCCCCGTGTAGCCGGGACCGTACATCGGCTTCAGCTTTGTGCCCGACTCCTGGATCACCTCCCACTCACTGACCCTCGGCTTGATCTCATTGTCCTGGAGCCCATTCTCCGTCTGAGACAAAGTCATCAACAAGAAACAACCTTCAATGTGATTCCCATTCAAAGGTCAGGTCCCATTAATTTTTTCTAATATCATAGGATGTTTCTGCCATTTTTTTCCCATTACCTAGAGAAACAAACAATGTAAACAAAAAAGCCTGAGAGATGGTGGTGGTGGCACATCAGTGAGAATGTACGTAATGCAGGAACGCCATGTTTAGAAACAGTTAAAATGGTAGACTTCAGATTACATATATTTTACCACAATTTTAAAACACACATGAAAAAGATCGTAAAGAGAGGCTGGGTGCAGTGGCTCATACCTATAATCCCAGCACTTTGGGAGGCTAAGGCAGGCAGATCACCTGAGGTCAAGAGTTCGAGACCAGCCTGGCCAACATGGTGAAACCCCATCTCTACTAAAAATACAAAAATTAGCTGGGTGTGGTGGCGCACACCTGTAGTCCCAGCTACTCGAGAGACTGAGGCAGGAGGATCACTTGAACCCAGGAGGTGGAGGTTGCCGTGAGCTGAAATTGTGCCACCGCACTGCAACCTGGGTGACAAGAATGAAACTCCGTCTCAAAAGAAAAAAAAAAAAACACAGATTTTAAAGAGAGAAAGACTGAAAGGGAAAGAGATAAGAGGAGGATAAAGAACAAATAGGAATCAAAAAGAAGCAAGTGGACTAAATTCAAGGGAGTATTCAATGCAACACAGCAAAGGACAAGGCCAGGCAGCCGTAGAGGATATGGAATAAAACCATGAGACTTGAGAGTGCCTTGAAAGAGGAGTGAGGTGTGAAGAAGGCAGAGAAAAGCAGAAATGAGTGACAAAGTGGGAACAAAGAGGGCAGGAAGGCGAAGAGAGTGAGGTGGCCTGGAGGGAAAGGGCTACATGAATGCACGTTTGAATCCTTAAAGGGAAACAATTCCACAGTCACACATCTGCTCGAAAATGCAACGTGAGAGGAAGCAGCACTTCTCCACCAACGGTCATGTGTTGGTTTATTCGCTCTGTCCCTAGGAGCCTTGCTTCCCTTCCTGAAATTAATTAAAGTGATGTTGGTCACAGATCATTTTAAAGGTCATCTCCTCACACCATCTGCCTTTTTCGTGGACAATGAATGATTCACATAACTGCCCATGAAAGGAGGCTGATTTTGCAAGTAAACTCCAACTCAACCAAGAGAAAACTCTTCATTAAATGCAAGAAGGAAATGCAACAATTGAAAGCTACAACCTATAAAGTGAAGACCCCTGTTAGAGGAATTATATAAATAAACCAAGCAGCTCCCGGGGCCTCCCCCCACCCCCACCCCATGCAAGGTGGAAATGGAAACCAAAGGAGGCCTCACCCCATGCATGTGGAGCATGTCAATTCCAAAATGCGCCAAATGCTTGGCCAGGTGAGGGTCCAAAACAGGCTCTTCTTCTTGAAAAGAATAAACATCTAGCGGGCAAAGAGAAAATGAGCAGCAGTCAGTCGTCAAGTCACTGAATAGCCAACAGGTATTCTGAACTCCCACTGTCCACCAGGCGTGGGCTACGTCACTGAACAAAATAAAAACTTTCTGACATTCAACAAGGGGAAAGATAAGTGATAATAAATAATATGGAGGCATTTTTTGTAAATATACCCATATATCAGTTCTTTTGACATTTTGGAAAGTTTTAAGTTTCTTTTTTTTTTGAGACAGAGTTTCGCTCTTGTTACCCAGGCTGGAGTGCAATGGCGCGATCTCGGCTCACCGCAACCTCCGCCTCCTGGGTTCAGGCAATTCTCCTGCCTCAGCCTCCCGAGTAGCTGGGATTACAGGCACGCACCACCACGCCAAGCTAATTTTTTGTATTTTTAGTAGAGACAGGGTTTCACCATGTTGACCAGGATGGTCTCTATCTCTTGACCTCGTGATCCACCCGCCTCGGCCTCCCAAAGTGCTGCGATTACAGACGTGAGCCACCACGCCCGGCCAGAAAGTTTTAAGTTTCTAAAGCAAGAAAAGAAAAAAAAAAAAGAACAGTATCTAAAGTTAAAGGTATGTAAACATAAATGCCTCCCGCTCAACGTTTCTAACCAGAACCACAGGGACATAACTCTGAGCTCAGAAAGAGGGCTGGGTGCTGGAGGAGAGAGTGACAGCCATTCACCGACGGCGGGGGAACCTCGGGGGGGGGACAGAGAGGACACACGGGCTCTCGGGCAGCCTGCTCCATCCAAGACAAAACTAAATTCTGCCCGTGAACCCTCTAGGTCCTCAAACCTGCCCCTCACGCCTCCACCTCCCGCCTGCCCCAGCATCCCTTCTTTCCTACCTTCCTGTCCACTCCTCACAGAGCCAGTGAGAGGTCTGTGAAGACTGTGGCACCTCCCAAGTGGGTTCGCCTCGTAGCACACACAGAAAATGACCATACTTGGTATTCCAGGGATACCGAGGACTCAGCCGTCCCCGCTGGCCCTGCTGCCCCAGGGGTCCACATCCCAGCGGGCTGAGAGGCATCGGTGTTGGTTAGCTCTGTGCTGAGGTGGGCGGCCTCTTTCCTCAGGATACTAATATCCCACCTGACAACAGGAGGCTTCTGACTGAACCTGTCTTCTCAAAGTGGGGGTGTGGACTCAAAGCAGCAGCCTCACCTGGGAGCTCACTGGAAATGCAGAATCCTGGGCCCTGCCCAAGGCCTACTGAATGAGAATCTGCATTTTTAACAAGCTCGTCGGGTGCACAGTGAGGTTGGAGGACTGTTTAGTTTTCCGAAACTATCCAAGGTGCTGCCCTATCCATCCTCACACACAGTGCGGCAACAAAGACAGAACAGACATTTCCAAGCCCATCTTCAGATAAGGAAAAAAGGCTCCTGAAGGGTAGGTGATTTTTTGCCTTAAATCCCACAGGTGGCCCAGAACCCAGCTAGTCGGACTCCTGGCCCAGTCTTCTTCCCTCTACAGCAGAATATTTATATCTGTGCAATACACAGGTATAACAGAACACCAGTCGGGTGCAGTGGCTCACATCTGTAATCGCAGCACTTGGGGAGACCAAGGCAAGAGGACCACTGGAGGCCAGGAGTTTGAGGCTACCGTGAGCTGTGACAATGCCACTGCACTCTAGCCTGGGGGACAGAGAGGGACCTTGTCTCTAAAAAAAACAGGGGGGGAAAAGAGTGTTTCTAAAGAAGGAAAAAAAGAAAACACATATATATGTATCAGAGCAGGACACCGACAGACTTGGTGAAGCCCCCTAGGCCCTTAAAAGGAATGAAGCCTCAGCACCCACCATTTCTTCACGCTCAGATTTGAAAACCAAAGTCTCTAACAAGGAAAACAGATCTGAAGATAACAGTCTTTGGGACAGTGTAAGACAGACTGTCCAAAGAGTCCCCCATGCCTTGGACCATCATCAGGGGAAGAAAAGTAATGCACAGAAGCTATGGTGACCTTCTGTCCCACACCCAGATGTACGGAGACTCACTGCTCCCAAAAGAAATTCAGTCTTTCTATTTTTACTAAGTAAAACGTTGTATAGCTTTCTTCTGTACTCCTCTCCCCCCGGGGCCCCATTATAACTGTGGATAGCAGCCCTCATTTATACTTTTTAAATATAATTCAGTGTTCCCAAAAGCAAAACCAAAGACAAAATCTCAGCCCAATTGAGAAGAAAATTTCCAAAAAAAATTAAATATTAATAAAACAAGCAAAAACCTTTGAACTAATAACTTGAAACAAATACATCAACAGTATTTTAAATCTATGGCAGGGGACCAAAAAATTCCACTCGAATACTAGCTGGAAGGTGCAAGTGGCACTCCCTGGGCACTTTACTGTAGGGAGATAGTTTGAAGACCTAAGCCTTTAAGCCCCTAATGACCAGGGCTGTATTCGAAATAACGAAACTGCTGCAAGTGGACGAGTGGCATTGGCCTGGGATTTTGAAATAAGTGAAAACCACACAGCCCTCCACCGTTCGTAACGCATTAGGCTCTGGCGACACTGAGAAAAATCACATTTCATGCCTCCCGTCCTTAACTGCTCCAAAGAGATGACCAGATTTGGTCAAACGCTACAGCTATTTCTCATCCCATAGACAAAAACAGTTTAGTGAGTAACATGCAAGAACCCTGAAGATGAACTGTGGCCGTCAAACTTGGTAATCATGAAGCATTTATACGTATGCAGAGAAAGAAGTCTCCAGTGGGCTCCGTGGCTGAATACGCCGTGTGCTATGTTCTTCAACAGAAGCTCATTTTATTCCCAGCCTCACCTCAGCAAAGGCAGGTCTTCGCGCAGAAACTACGGCAGTAACCAGGCAACTGCTGACAAGAATCACCCTTCACGTTCCCCAACTTGGCCTAAAACTTGAAGCCAAGACCACGGTCAGGAAGTTCACAGAGGGATCCTCCCAGGAATAGCCCAAGCGGCGTCTCATGAGTAACTGCGTTCATTTGAGAAGTAAACCTGTCATCGTTTCAAGTTAAATGACAGACTAAACCAGGAAGAGCGGGAGGCAGCAATCCAGCAGCAGAAGAAACAGGACTTTTAAAAATGGTTTTGAACAAGAATATCGCATTTGTGTGATTGATCAAGGATAAAATAAAAATAAAAAATAAAGAAAGATTAATTAAGAAAAAGCTTAGAGAGCAGAGACAGACAGAGATGAACCAGGAGCAAGGCTGAGAATCTCTAAGAAACCAGATCAAAGTGGTGATGATCATTTGTAATCTCTGAATGGGAAGATTTCTTTTTCTCTCTCTCTTCTGTTTTGTCTAAATGTATTATATTTTGATGGAAAAAAAGGTTTTCTAAGTAATTCCCAGAGATGAACGTGACGCTACTGAATGGTACACTGTTAGGACTAGCGTGCCTGGCATGGGTCATACCTGGACCACCATGATTAACTCACGCATTCATCGTGGTCAGCAGCTATTAACTGAATGCCAAATACATACATATCCCGAGGATATCATGTTAAATAAGTCTCTTCCCTCATAAGTTTAAAGTTTAATATTTCAAATAGTCTTACAAGAAATGCTGGCTTGGTGTGAAGGATCGCATGGTTTAGCCATGTTACTTAATGCCCTTTCCTAGGCCTCAGAAAACGGCAGGAATCCAGATTCTTCCTCTAGATTCCCCTACAGGGAAGTAGAAGGGAGAGGAGGTAAAAATGTACTTCAGCAAGTCCTGTGTCAAAACTGCGGTGGCTCACACCTGTCATCCCAGCACTTTGGGAGGCAAGGGTGGATCACCTGAGGTCAGGAGTTCGAGACCAGCCTGACCAATACGGTGAAAGCCCATCTCTACTAAAAATATAAAAATTAGCCGGGTGTGGTGAAACCTTCTTATAATCCCAGCTATTCGGGAGGCTGAAGCAGGAGAATCACTTGAACCTGGGAGGCAGAGGAAGCAGTGAGCCAAGATCGTGCCACTGCACTCCAGCCTGGGTGACACAGTGAGACTGTCTCAAAAAAAAAAAAAACTAGGGAAGCCAGCTTTGGTGACCTTCTCTCACAAGTAGAGGGAAAGCAAAGTTCCTGGTCAAACACCAAGTGACAAATGACAGAGGAGAGGCTGAAGTAAGGTTCTCCTCAGAGTCAGTGCAGCTCCACTCACCCCAACTCCATGTCTCCACCAGTACACATTTGTGTGCCTCTAAGCCATCTGCCACAGACAGGAAATAAAAAACACAGGACAACTCCGCAACTACACTAGAAAAATAAACGCAAAACACATCAGGCCAGCAGGAAGGATCTCTCTAAAGAGAGAACAGGCTGTAATCCCAGGACTTCTAGAGGTCGAGGCAGGAGGATAGCTTGAACCCAGGAGCTGGAGACCAGACTGGGCAATATAGTGAGACCCTGTCTCAGTTTAAAAAAAAGAGAGAGAAGGAGAACAGGGCCAGGCACAGTGGCTCACATCTATCATCCCAACACTTTGGGAGGCTAAGGCAGGAGGATCATTTGAGTCCAGGAATTCAAGGCCAGCCTGGGCAACATAGTAAGACTCCATTTCTACAAAAAAATGAAAAAAAAAAAGTGTTGAGTGTGGTGGCAAGCATTTGTGCTCCCTGCACCTGGGAGGCTGAGCGCAGAGGCTCCCTTGAGCCCAGGAGGTCAAGGCTCCAGTGAGCCATGACTGCACCACTGCTCTCCAGCCTGGACAACAGAGTGAGACCCTGTCTCAAAAAAAAGGAAAGAAAGACAGAGTGAGTGAGAGTCAGTGATAACCGCCAGGCCAGACAGAGCCTAGACTGTAGTCAGGAAAAGCAAAACAGGTAAGAGTAAAAAGATGTCAATAAAATAGAAAAAAAGAAAAGAAAAACGGTAAATCAGAGGAGCCAACATTCTCTTCCTTTTTTTAATTTTTGAGACAGGGTCTCACTAAGCTGCCCAGGCTGGCCTCAAACTCCTGGCCCAAGCCATCCTTAAAACACAGCCTCCCAAACAGAAGCAGATTTGGTTGGTGTGTTTTCCTCCATTTGTTCGTTCCATATTTGCTGAGCACCTACTATGTGTGAGGGACACTAATAGACGGTAGATATAATGGCACCCAAGAAATGCAGCATTAGGCACTGCTGTACTTGGTGGCCACTATTCAATAAACTGTTACAGGGTCTCGTGAAAAGTACCCTGAGGAAGGAGCACGAAGGACCACAGAGGCACACAGGAGGGGCCCAGACCAGGCCAGAGCTAAGCTGAAGTACTCCATGCCCCGATTACACACCTGGGCTGGGGACACTCCAGGGATTCAGATGAAGTACTCCATGCCCCGATTACACACCTGGGCTGGGGACACTCAGGGACTAAGATGAAGTACTCCATGTCCCAATTCCAGACCCGGGCTGGGGACACTCAAGGAACTAAGCTGAAGTACTCCATGCCCTGATTACACACCTGGGCTGGGGACACTCAAGGGACTAAACTGAAGTACTCCATGTCCCGATTACACACCTGGGCTGGGGACACTCCAGGGACTAAGATGAAGTACTCCATGCCCCGATTACACACCTGGGCTGGGGACACTCCAGGGACTAAGATGAAGTACTCCATGCCCCGATTACACACCTGCGCTGGGGACACTCCAGGGACTAAGATGAAGTACTCCATGCCCTGATTACACACCTGGGCTGGGGACACTCCAGGGACTAAGATGAAGTACTCCATGCCCCGATTACATACCTGGGCTGGGGACACTCCAGGGACTAAGATGAAGTACTCCATGCCCCAATTACACACCTGGGCTGGGGACACTCAAGGGACTAAGATGAAGTACTCCATGCCCCGATTACACACCTGCGCTGGGGACACGCAAGGGACTAAGATGAAGTACTCCATGCCCCGATTACACACCTGGGCTGGGGACACTCCAGGGACTAAGCTGAAGTACTCCATGCCCCGATTACACACCTGGGCTGGGGACACTCCAGGGACTAAGATGAAGTACTCCATGCCCCGATTACACACCTGCGCTGGGGACACTCAAGGGACTAAGATGAAGTACTCCATGCCTCGATTACACACCTGGGCTGGGGACACTCCAGGGACTCAGATGAAGTACTCCATGCCCCGATTACACACCTGCGCTGGGGATACTCAAGGGACTAAGCTGAAGTACTCCATGTCCCGATTACACACCTGGGCTGGGGACACTCCAGGGACTAAGATGAAGTACTCCATGCCCCGATTACACACCTGGGCTGGGGACAAACCAGGGATTAAGATGAAGTACTCCATGCCCTGATTACACACCTGGGCTGGGGACACTCCAGGGACTAAGCTGAAGTACTCCATGTCCCGATTACACACCTGGGCTGGGGACACTCCAGGGACTCAGATGAAGTACTCCATGCCCCGATTACACACCTGGGCTGGGGACACTCAAGGGAGCTTATGGCCAGGTCAGGGGTAAGCAAAACCGAAGATGAAAGATCACCTTGAGGTGCTGGCACAGCCAGTGGAATAGGCAATTTCACAGCTGTCTTGGGCACCTCAGGAAGACTCTCCTGCAATCACCTAATTCACCGAAGCGTCTCTGGGTAAACTGGTTTCCTGATAGAAGAAAAACACACCCTATCCTGCCTCCGTCCTGCCCTACCCTTTCTACCAAGAACCTCATCCTTGCCTCGCCCAAACAATGTGTCCTCCCCGAGTGGAAAGCTTTCTGTTTGTTTCTTGCTGTACCCATGGGGACCCGGAGTAGAATTTCACATGGGGCCCGTTCTTCCTACACATGCCACACTCCGGCCTGAACTGAGGGACCAGGGCCTCTTTGAAAAACTAAATCTAAGTTGAGACCCCAAGGATGAGGAGCAGTGTCTCAGTGGACCAATATATCCTTATCGGGGGAAAGGAAATCAGGGTCATCAGATCACACTACCATTAAATACTTGAGTCCAAACCTTCTTGGATTCCACATTCACCAAGCAATCTTCTAAATATAATTCCGCTTCCCACGGGGAAGGAATGTACTGGTCAAGCGGACATCAACATCCTACTTACTGGCAGTTGTGGCTCTCATTGTGAACTGAAAAACAAACACCCTGACTTTGAGACTTTGTCTCTTGTGTGCTGAATGGGCCTGCGTGACCCCAGCGAGTGTGGACGATCAAACCGTCAGTCATGGAAACTTCACCAGGTGATGGCTACCCCCAGACAGAGGGCACCCGACCCCCGGGTCTCAGTGTCCACAGGACTCATCATTAGACATTTAAGAAAACTTTATGCAGGTTTTTATTAATTTATGTGGCTTTTAAATACACAGTAAGTTACAGCTAGCAATCTATTAAACAGACTTAAAGGAGGCCAAAATAGAATGCAAACATCCCATAAACTAATATGACATTGTAATTAGGCAGAAAATAATCACTTTTATTAAAGCCAACTCTGCACAACATATGCAGGAATCGAAGCCTGACCTTCTTCAGTCAACGTTGTTTTAGCTAAAGGAATTCACAACCCTTGTCACGGCATGTGCGATCTGCACGGCCATGGTCAACGTTTCACACTTTCTATGATTGACATGGAAGTACGCATCAAATACTGTCACTCCTATGACAAGAAAAACCTTAAAGCTTCTTTCTTCTTCACAAAACAACAGCAGCTATGGAAGGTAATTCTTAATAATCAAAGAGTTCTTAAAAAACAATTTTTAAAAACCTAAACCTACAAGAAAATTGGCCTAAGAAACTCAGAAGAAAGAACTACAAATGGCCAAGAATACTAAGAAAAATATTCAGCCTCCCTAGTAATGCAAATTAAAACAAGATACCGATTAGCAAAGGTTATTTTTTTTAAGTCTTAATACAGAAAGTTGTCAAGGATTTGTTGAAATTGATACTGTCATATACTGCTGATGAGAATGGAAATTATTACAACTATTTAAAAGAGAATCTTGACAACTGAAAATTTTGAAGATTCAACTCTTTGTCATAGAAATTTATTCTTTTTTTTTTTTTTTTTTTTGAGACGGAGTTTCACTCTTGTTAACAAGGCTGGAGTGCAATGGCCCGATCTCGGCTCACCGCAACCTCCGCCTCCTGGGTTCAGGCAATTCTCCTGCCTCAGCCTCCTGAGTAGCTGGGATTACAGGCACGCGCCACCATGCCCGGCTAATTTTTTGTATTTTTAGTAGAGACGGGGTTTCACCATGTTGACCAGGATGGTCTCGATCTCTTGACCTTGTGATCCACCCGCCTCGGCCTCCCAAAGAAATTTATTCTAAATAAATAACTAGACAAACACAAAAAATTTGCATATATTCAAGGATGTTCATCAGAATAGAAAAAAATTGTAACACTGAATAGTGAAATAATTTATGAAACAATCATAAAATACTGAAGAATATTTAATAAAATAGAAAAACAATGTTAAATAGAAAAAATAAGTAATAAAACTTTATACGGGTGTGATCAAATTTTTGTAAAAATGTGAGGTGGATGTGTGTGTGTACGTGTGTGTATACGTGTGAACTGATTAACCCTTTAAAAAAAGACTGAAGTGAAATATCTACATTACTCACAGTGACTAGTCTAGAGGGTGGGATTACTACTAGTTTGCATTAATTTATCTAAATTTTTATCTGTTTTCTACAGATGTTACACTGAGTATCTGTTTGGTGCATAATCAAGATGAAAATATAAAACTTTCTTGGCTGGGCACACTGGCTTACACCTGCAATCCCAGCACTTTGGGAGGCCGAGGCTGGCAGATCACCTGAAGTTGGGAGTTCGAGACCAGCCTGGTCAACGTGGTGAAACCTCACCTCTACTAAAAATATAAAAATTAGCCAGGCATGGTGGCAGGTGCCTGTAATCCCAACTACTCGGAAGGCTGAGGCAGGAGAATCGCTTGAACCTGGGAGGCAGAGGTTGCAGTGAGCCGAGATCGCACCACCGCATTCCAGCCTGGGTGACAGAGTAAGACCATCTCAAAAAAAAAAATCGTACAGCTGTGTAATGTATTTGTGTTTTAAGTTAAGTGTCACTACAGGAATGTCCAAAAGTTAAAAAGATTAAGTTTATAAAGTAAAAGCATTAGAGTAAGAGGTTAATTTATTATTCATAAATATAGTGTAGCCAAGTGTAAGGTGACTCTGCAATACCGAACACTGACTTCACTCCCCACTCACCCACCCACTCATGCAGAGAAGCTGCAGTCCTGCCTGCTCCATTCTTGGAAAGTGTCCTGTACAGGTGAGCATTTTCCATGTCATACCGTATAGCTGCTGTAGCGTTTCCAGGTTTCAATATGTCCAGATATACAAATACTTACCATTGTGTTCACACAGCAGTCAGCACAGTGCCGTGCTGGACAGGTTTGTAGCTGAGGAGCAAAAGGCTACATCGTGGAGCCTGGTTGTGAAGGAGACTGTGCCATCTAAGCTTGTCCAAGTATACTCGGCGATGTTCACACAGGAAATCACCTAATGACGCATTCTCAGAATATACCACCGTCCTGGGCTGTCTGAATCCCGAGCCTACACCCTCCAACCACCTGGATTCGGGGATTGGTTAAACCTAAGAGGAAGCCAGTGCATGTCCTCAAGTCAGTAAAGGCACACTCACCTGCCCCATCAGGAGTGATGGTTCCCAGTTTCACGGCTAGCGGGTAGCCCGTGTCTCTGTAATGCTCCAGAGCATGCCCGTTGCCCCCAGAGCTGTCAAAGAACCACTTTCCACACAGAACAGAGCCGTCAGTCAGATTCAGCCACAGGTTTTCTCGCAGGTCGCATCTGGCACACTTCCAACCACTGCAAAGCCATTGGAGAGCGGTCAGAACAGCCAGAGAGCATCGTTTTAAAAATTCACATCTAAGACAACAGAGCATTTCCAGCAGGCAGGTTATAGCAGAGGCGTGGTGGAATCACAAACACTGGTGCTTCCCCATATTCTCCCCTTAAAACACTGTTGGCCAGACGCGGTGGCTCATGCCTGTAATCTCAGCACTTTGGGAGGCTGAGGCAGGCAGATCACCTGAGGTCAGGAGTTCGAGACCAGCCTGGACAACATGGCGAAACGCTGTCTCGATTAAAAATACAAGAAATAGCCAGGCGTGGTGGTGCGCACCTGTAATCCCAGCTACTTGGGAAACTGAGGCAGAGAGAACTGCTTGAACCCAAGAGGTGGAGGTTGCAGTGAGCTGAGATCATGCCACTGCACTCCAGCCTGGGAGACAGAGCAAGACTCCATCTCAAAAAAAAAAGAAATTGTTTCTTCCCCAGAGCAGCAGGATCACTCAGCACCCTGCCCGCCACCCAGATGTGGGCCAGCCCCTCCAGCAGTTCTGACGGGCTCTTTTACTTTCGAAAACTGACACACAAGTTGGGGCTAGGACAGGAGCCCATTTCCTTGCAGTTCCTCCATGAGAGACAGAGGAGCTTGACCAAGTTTAAAATATTAAGGATCTTGTGTGTATAAATGGCTAGAGTCCTAAAGCATTAATCACATGGAATACAACTAGTTTATACAAAACCTGACTCCACTGCAAATCTAAATTAGTCAGAAAGGAAACCAATTTGACTAAATGCTAAATGCCAACTATGTGCCAAGTACTTTCCAGAAGTCTCATCATTTAATCCTAATAAACACCTTTCAGCATCACTGTTTTTACAAATGGAGAAACGGAGGCCCAGAAGTCACCCTCGTTTCCTGAGACCACACAGCAGGTGAACACAGTGCAACTGCCAGGTTTCAAACAAATCAGACACATTCCTAATCCATCTGCCTCTGTGATCACACGGGCGCCTCGTAAGAGGAGGCATGAATGGAGCCCAAAGGCTATTCCAGCCAAAATGTGACAACCAAGGACTTGTGAGTGGGATTCCCCTAAAACAAGACTCTGAGACAAAGCACTAAAGAAAAATGGCTTGTCTGGGAGGTGATCCCAAGGAAGAGGAGAAGACACAAGAAAGGGCCAGAGCTGCTGCAGGGTATGTCAGTGAGCCAAGGTACACTATGGGCAACTGGACTCGGGCCATGTGGGGAACTGCAGGAGACAGGTATCCCACCTGGAGGGGCAGGAAAATGGGGTATTACTCCACCCACGCCACAGCCACTGGTTTGGGGCTGCCCCAGGAGGAGGGAGGAAGCTTCACTCCGACGTTTCTGACTGTCCCAGGCACCAGCCATACTGGCTTCAGCAAGCAGAAAACGTGCTCAAGCCAAGGGTTGCAAGTGCTTGCAACTGGCAGCTTCAGGACAGGGAAGGGCTTGGGGTATGGGCTGGGCACATTCAGCATCTACTACAAAGGTACACACAATTTCAGAGAGGTTTTATATTCACTTTCAATAAAAGGCATCTGGGGCCGGGCATGGTGTCTCACGCCTGTCATCCCAGCACTTTGGGAGGCCAAGGCAGGCGGATCCCCTGAGGTCAGGAGTTTGAGACCCAGCCTGACCAACATGGAGAAACATTGTCTCTACCAAAATTCGCTGGGGGTGGTGGCACACACCTGTAATCCCAAGTACTTGGGAGGCTGAGGCAGGAGAATCACTTGAACCCAGGAGGCAGAGGTTGCGGTGAGCTGAGATCACACCATTGCACTCCAGCCTGGGCAAGTAGAGTGAAACTCCATCTCAAAAATAAAAATAAAAGGCGTCTGGTAAGAAAAAATATAACTGCCAATTCAAAACAGAGAAAACAAATATTCATGTGGCCAGTTTTAGGGAGTAAAGTTCAATTCTCCGACTTGACTCTCACCTTGGAGGAATCCTGACACCATTGTCCAGCTGGGTGAGGTTGTTGGCGTATTTCGACACTGGCAATTCATTTTCCCATGTATCTGGGTCCTGCTTTCTGTACGGAGATTTTGAGCTGAGAACAGCATCGCAAGCGATTGTTACCTGTAAGACAAACCCAGATGTGATATAAAAAACAGTCTGGGAGGATGACAGTTTGCTAGTGAATAGCAAATCCACCCGAATGTGAGTTTAAACCTGAAGAAATGCACACAGCATAGCTGTCACAGGAGCGAGAGCCTGTTTTCCTGCACTTGCCCTGCATCCAGCTAGGTCTGTCCCTGAACTATTGACAATGGCACAGAGAGCAAGAAACTGGATTCATTTTCTAAGCCCAAGCTTAGAGGTCAGATTTAACAATTCCTACAACTTAGCAAGCAGGGTGAAAAGTAGGAGGTTAACAACTTACAAGGGTGAAATCAGACACAGGAGTGCCCAGGACTTGCCCAAGTAGTCTGTCTCCCTCATAACAAATGTACACTCAGCTATCCAGCATCTCGACTCATCACACAACGGCATGTGGTCAAGGGCACTCGAACGGCATGGAAGCAGCCTGGCTCCTTTTCTTAATCTGGTTCAAATGTGACCCTGGACAGGAACATGCCTGGGTGTCTCTGTACCAGACCAGTCCCCATCACGAGCAAATCGGCATCAACTGACCGCAGGGGAGGACGGAACAGACTCTCTGCCTTCTCCCTGCCCGACTGATCCTGGCCAAATGCCTGTTACCCAATTTGCTATTGGCTTAATGTTGTAAGCTATTTCCAGCTGTCTTTTAAAAACATATATTCTGGTTTCAAGGTAAACTGGTACTGCTGCTTTGGAAACGTTTGGAAGTTCATCAAATAGTTAAACAGTTACCACATGACCCAGTAATTCTACCATAGGCCTGCACCCAAGAGAAATGAAGATATGTGTCCACGCAAAAACTTGTACACATTGTTCACAATAGCATTATTTATAATAGTCAAAAACTGGAGCTGGGCACAGTGGCTCATGCCTGTAATCCCAGCACTTTGGGAGGCTAAGGCAGGTGAATCACTTGAGGTCAGGAGTTCGAGACCAGCCTGGCTAACATGGTGAAACCCCAGCTCTACTAAAAATACAAGAATTAGCTGGGCGTGGTGGCGTCCATCTGTAGTGCCAGCTACTTGAGAGGCTGAAGCAGGAGGATCGCTTGAACCTCGGAGGTGGAAGCTGCAGTGGGCTGAGAATGCACCATTGCACTCCAACCTGGGCAACGAGAGAGAAACCCTGTCTCAAAAAAATTTTGTAACAAAAAATAAAAATAATGGAAACAACCCAAAAGCCGATGGATATAACAAATAGAATGTAAGATAAAATGTTGAACATACAATGGAATGTTATTTGGCAGTAAAAAGGAATGAATATTGCTATGTGCTACAATATAGATGAACCTTGAAAAGATATTCTAAGTGAAAAAGCCAGTCACAAACAACAGCATATTACATGACGCTGTTTATGTGAAACGCCAGACTAAGCAGGTCTGTAGAGATAGTAAGTAGATTTCTGAGTGCAGCAGGCTCGGCTGGAGGAGGGGCTGGAGGACAATGGGGTGTGGGGTTTTTGGTGAGGCAAGAGAAACATTCTAAAATTAGATAGTACTGATGGATGCCCAACTCTGAATATAATAAAAGCCACTAAATTGCTAAAAAAAAAAAATTAACAAAATACGTCATCTATATCACTAATATCCTGCACAATGGGCTGACCATTTTCCCCTGAGTAGTACTTTCCCATGTGTCTAGGTCCTAGATTCTGACCCTAGAACGAAGGAAGAACGAGGAACAATGGAGGAAGTGCCCTCAGCGGCCATGTCTCCCCACCTTGCCCACAGGCGATTCCCAGGAGCTGCGTGTCCACTCCACCTCAGCCCTCCTGGTCCTGGCCACCATTGTGGTTCCCCCATGGCTGCACGACAGCCTCCTCACAGCGGCCTTTCCTCTGCCCCTGCCCCTCCTCTCTGCACAGCAGCCAGGGTGATCTGCTATGAAAATTACATCCCATCCTTCCCCAGCTTAAAACTCTCCAAGGTTATACTGACCACTACTGATGGATGACACTGAGCTCCTCAGCCAGGAACAAGGAGCGGGTCCCTGGCCTCAGCAAGCTTATAATCCATTAGAGATCAGGATACAGTTAAGCCTTTCAAAGGAGATCCTCCCATTTATCTCCCACCACAAAGGCTGTTGCATAACTTGCATTTTCTTTCCATTATGAAAACTCATCTCCTATCACCTTCACAAGTGCCCACAGAAAATAGAGATGAGGTCACCACAAGCCGCTTTCAGACTTTATGGGTTTGGGACTTGCCACCTCAGCACTTCTGGCCAGGACTTCTTCCTCGTTCCTGACTGTGAGGAGCCCAGTGTCATCGGTCAGCAGTGGTGAGAGTTTGGGGTGGAGAAGGGCAGGATGTGACTTTCACAGCAGATCACCCCGGCTGCTGTGGGGGCAGAGGGTGGAAGGCCACAGCAAGGAGGCCATGTGCAGCCTCCTCATCTCTCCAGTCTGACCTGTTAGAGCCCCCTTGTTTGTTTCACCAACTACCTGATCACGTCTGTGTCCTCCTTAGGACAGTCTCCGCCCCTCCTAGATCTTCTCTAAGCGTCTGGTTTGCAGTGCACTTTGGTTCTGAACAACTCAGACAGAATACTTCTCCTTTGTCTTTGAGTATCTTTCTGGCTGACAACCAACAAAACATCCTTAGTCTTCTGCGCCTATAAAACACTGATCCAGTGTTTCCAGAATATCATCCAGAATCACTTAAAGGCCCTTTTTATGGGTGACAGCTGAAGGTCAGCATCCGTCATCCTGTAATCACACTGTGAATTATTTTTCCCTGGGTATGTTATCTGAAGTGAAGTGAAAAGACCTTGGTACTAGCCCGGGCTCCATCCCAAGCCTTCATAAGACTCCAGTTCAGTTCTGCACTGGAACTAGCTCAAACTGGCTCAGAAGAGGCCAGCTTTAAATTTTAGGAAATTTGGCAAGGTGGTTGCTAAACACGGCCATTATAAAACATTAAATCATACAAACTTACAACTAAATAAAATGTTTTTGAAAAGGTGACATGGAATCAAAAATTCTTCACTTCCTAGTTTTTTGCTGTATCTTCTTATTATCTATGTGCTCTGGAGGTTTTCTTCACATGCATGTCAGCTGCATTCTGGAAATTCTGTGTAATGGTCTGCGACTACCAGTCTCCTTCCAACACCGCATTCAGTGATGTCACTTAGACAGCCTGAAATCAGCCACGGTGAGAGTATTTACACCATGGTATCAGCAGACACTGCAAAACAGGGCTTTTTCCCCCTAGGGAGCCCATTGTTAAACATTCACTGCTCCAATGGCTGGTGTCAAAAATGAAGGCATTGGATTTCAGGCTCCAAGTTCCCTGCTGAGCTCACAGTGCTCTGACTCTGTGAACCCAGCATCACCCAGGGGCGGCTTAACATTCTGGTAGAACCTACAGAGTAATTCTCTGAAACTGAAATTCTTCTGTGCTAAGATGCTTAGGAGATAAAGGAAGAATCACCTGGTGAGATGCTTTGAGCTCAATACTTTTTGTCATTTAAAAGTTTAAAAAGAGAATTGTCATCGCCAAAATGTGGCAAAAGCATGAAAAGAAAATATAGTAACTTCTAGGTAGATAAACCCATCCGTTACCATGAGGTAAGCCCAGGCTTTGCCTGTAATCCCCCCACCCTCATCTTCCAAATAATCCTCTCTTCTTTTCTCATTCTTAAAGTATTTCTTAATACTAAAAGGCTCTATATTAAAAATGATTATATATCTTGCTAGATTCAGATTTCTATGGCACTTCTCTTATTTTAAATAAGAGTATTCACATTTCAAATTATACTCCAAGTGCAATAATAAAAGGTTTTTTTATTAACTTTTTTTAACATAAAGTCTTATTCATGAGGGACTGAAAGGAAAATAATTTATCATACCATGGATTCACAATGTGTCTTCTCTTCTGACAGCAGAAATAAGTCATTTTAAACAAGGCAATAAGAACTCTCAGTATTACGGAAATATAAGTATTAGTATATAATTTCAGGTAATGCATGAGGTAAGGCCATTTTGTCCACTAATATATTTTATCCTTGGTAATGGCCACGAGTCAACACGGAACTGGAGAAAGCAAAGGTAATTTAATTCCGCGTGCCTTACTGAACACTGTGCACTTCGAACTAAAAGAAGAGGAACGATAAATAAATACACACAAAATTCTCATTTCTATAGTCTTAGATGTAAGGTAGATTGGGGCAAAAGAGAATGAATGGTGGAAATCTTAGTCCCTAATGACAAGGAAACCCCAAGCACAAATGTCCCCTCTCAGCAGGGGCAAGCGAGCAGATGGCAACAGAAAGAGTCTCGCAAGCTCCAGAAGACTCTGGGACCTAAAGAGCTGGCTTTGGTTCCGGCCTAGTTCAAGGAAGGAAAAACGGACAGGCGTGTCTAAATCCAACCCACCCTGACCCACTGCCATCTGTGGCCAGGCTCTGGGAAGACAAGGTGTGCACAGAGTGGAAAGAGGAAAAGAAACGGGAGATGAGAAGAAAAAAAGGAAAGAGGGCAAAGTGGCCCAGGCACTAGAGGAAAGGAGCGAAGAGCAGGGGACAGTCGGGGTCCCTGCGGCAGCTCTGCCGTGCCCACTCCTGGCCGCAAGAACCAGAGGAAAGCAAACCTGCCTTCCCTGTCTCACCACCAGCACCTCCAGCTTCAAGTTGAGAAAAATCAAGGTCCCTCCACAAAACTGGATTAGGAAGAAAAGAGGAGGGAAGAGGAGGAGGAACCTCACAGCTAGAAATACCTAAAACCTAGAAAGTAGCCTTCGTTCCCACAGGGACTGAAAGTGAAAAGAAGGTTCCCTTGCTCCCAGGGCTCCTGCAGACGTGTGGTTTGTAAATGCTTCGTTCTTTCCGTCACTGCACTGCTATTGTTTCAGCAATGAGCACGTTACCTGGAAGGCCCACGTAATAAACATGGTAAAAAGACGTCATCCCACTGATCAGAAAACAGTCCCTACAGTTCTGGGGTGTACAGTTTGAAAATCTAAGGAACAGACAGTGATTCAGGAGGCAAGAAGCCTGCCCAACCTGGAGACCAGCCTAATGAGCCACAGGCCCAAACAGCACGCAAGGTGAGAGAGCAAAAGGCCCAGCGCTACTGAAACGTGAGCCTTTAAGAGACAGCAAAAGGCCCAGCGCTACTGATCGTGAGACTGCAGGACCCCGTCACGAACAGAAGAGGTGACCCGGTGCGGTGGCTCACGCCTATAATCCCCGCACTTTGGGAGGTTGAGGCAGGTGGATCACCTAAGGTCAGGAGTTCGAGACCAGCCTGACCAACATGAAGAAACCCAGTCTCTACTAAAAATACAAAAATTAGCCGGGCATGGTGATGCACACCTGTAATCCCAGCTACTCGGGAGGCCGAGGCAGGAGAATCACTTGAACCCGGCTGCTCGGGAGGTGAAGGTTGTGGTGAGCCAAGATGGCGCCACTGCACTCCAGCCTGGAAACTCTGTCTCAAAAAAAAGAGACGAGGTATGCACACGTACAGGCCAGCACTACTGAAACGTGAGACTGCAGGGCCCCGTCACAGAAGAGCTGTGCCCGCGTTCACCTCATTCTGATGCTCTCTGTCAGTCCACCCACTCTCCCTGCCCCACCCCTGCACCCCGCCCCTGCACACACACACCACACACACACACACACACACACACCTGACACAGAGTCACGCGCATCTAGCTAGCCGCCGCGCACACTCACTGACCAGGGCTGGTAACTCCTCAATATTTGGTAGTGCTATTTCATAGTGATCTGGGAATATAACAAGTTTGGCTTCATCTTCATATTCCAAATCGTCGCTATTTAAATCGTCATCAGTATCTAGATCTGAGGAGAAAACAAAAACAGAACAAGAAGTGAGGAACGCAGCACCCCACACTGCTCTGCGAAAGCCACAAGTCCGGGCGATGCGACACTGAGGCTGTGACATCTACGGCCTGCTCCTCTGACGGGGCGGGCCGTCGTCCCAAACCAGCAGCAGCTTCCCTGTCCAGTTCTCCCAAGTCGGGAACACTTACTAATCAGTGACTGATGTATAGAGAAGACTGAGCCATTTCATAAAGCTTTACACTTAACATAGACCAATGTGCAAGATACTCAAAGAATGTCTCAGAAAGAAAATGTCTTAGAAATTCCTAAAAAGGAAAGGATTGGTAATTCCGCTGTCAGGTACCCACCCGGCTCCTGATTTCACAATAGGCTGGAATAGTTGTTTGGTTTTTGGGGGGTTTTTTTACAACATATAATGTGAAAGTATGGTTTTAGAGTTGATACACTTAGGTTCAAGTCTGGCTCTAAAACATAATGTCACTTTGGGCAAGTCACAAACTCTCTAAGCCTTAATTTTCCCATTTCTTGCATGGAGATAATAGCATATATCTCACATAGTTCATACAGGAGATAAACAAGAACAAGAGACCTGGCAATATAACAGGTAGTCAATACGTGTTAGCTATAATTTAAAAACAGAATCTCCCTCTTGCTCTCTCCCTCTCCCTCTCTTAGAGTGTTGAGTTACTGCATAGTAGACCAGAGGCGGAAGCCCTACAATGTGAGCGGTCAGATTGTCGTTGGCTGCGGAGAATTCTCAAAAAGAAAGATGAGCTCCTTGGTCAGGCGTGGTGGCTCACGCCTGTAATCCCAACATTTTGGGAGACGGAGGCAGGTGGATCATGAGGTCAAGAGATTGAGACCATCCTAGCCAATATAGTGAAACCCTATCTCTACTAAAAATACAAAAATTAGCCGGGCGTGGTGGCCTGCGCCTGTAGTCCCAGCTACTTGGAAGGCTGAGGCAGGAGAATCGCTTGAACCTGGGAGGCAGCGGGCAGTGAACCAAGATGGTGCCACTGCACTCCAACCTGGGCGAAAGAGCGAGACTCCATCTCAAAGAGAAAGATGAGCTCCTCTAGCCTGTTGTCACCTCTTGTTCAGCTCATCTTTGGTAAAGGTTACATGAAGGCTCAAGGAAATGTCTTGTCACAATATTTATATAGACATTTCAGCATCACTTTCACAGGGATGCCAGCATCCCAGATCATGTTTGTATATTTATTCTTGGAACTATGGTGACAAAGAGCTAGTGAGTTATATTCCACCCACATGCACACAAACAGGCACACGAACACACAGAAACGTGGGCTCTACAGACAAAGTTATGTCACTTATTGAAGCAGCCACCTGAGAACCAAGGGTCCAGAATGTTATTACTTGTATGTTTCCAATCAAAAACCCAGTATATGTTTGTGTACAACTCTGCTCTTAAATTCCCAAAGGGAGGGCAGTTTGTAGTAAGAAATGAACAAATAAGATACAGCTAAAATGAAGTCTAAGCTTTTTTCTTTTTTTGAGGCAGGGTTTCACTCTGTTGCCCAGACTTGAGTGCAGTGGTGTGATCATAGCTCACTGCAACAGCAAACTCCCAAGCTCCAGCTATCCTTCCGCCTCAGCCTCCTGAGAAGCGAGGACGGCTGGGCCTGGCTAATTTTTTTATTCTTTGTAAAGACAGGGTCTCACTATGTGACTCAGGCTGGTCTCAAATACCTGGCCGCAAGTGACCCTTCCCACCTCAGCATTCCAGAATGCTGGAATGAAAGGTGTGAACCACCACGCCTGGTCTCAATATTTTAATAAAAGACTCTAAATAGTAAAAGTCTGAAATGCCAAGATAAAGAGCCAAACCAAACGACACTGCTAGGGAGCTACAGAAGTGAGGGCCATTTGACAAAAGGTCATTTGAAGGAAGATTCTGTGAGTTTAGGCAGTAACTAAAGGCATTTACTTCAAGGTTATAATTTTATAACATATAGAAATATGTTATAAAAATGTGAATGCTTCAATATCTGACGTTTTAAGTTGGAATCTAAATGTTTAATAAAAGTAGTATTCAACCCAATATAATATTATTTAAATAGTAGTTTAGACTTCAGACTATGTAGAAACAGAAACGTTTATGCTATGTTAATGCTAAAAATACGAAATTCATCTTCATTGTAAAGACTTTATATTATGCTCATAGACAAAAATGAGACGGAAACCTAAACAAATGAAAATAATGAATGAATGAGCTTTATTCTTGAATTTTATTATAATATTGTAGATATAACAATCTTAAGTAACCAAAGCATAAATCCTGTGATTTTGTATGCAGATTCAGTTCATTTAAGATATTATCTGTCTCTTTTCCACAGAAAACATGCTCATTTAAAGCTAATTCAATGAGCATAAATAAAATACAAAAAAAAAAAAATCCTTGGCCAGGCGCAGTGGCTCACGTCTGTAATCCCAGCACTTTGGGAGGCCAAGGCAGGCAGATCACAAGGTCAAGAGATCAAGACCAACCTGGCCAACACGGTGAAAACCCATCTCTACTAAAAAATACAAAAATTAGGCCGGGTGCAGTGGCTCACGTCTGTAATCCCAGCACTTTGGGAGGCCAAGGCGGGCAGATCACAAGGTCAAGAGATCAAGACCATCCTGACCAACATGGTGAAACCCCATCTCTACTAAAAAATACAAAAATTAGGCCGGGTGCAGTGGCTCACGTCTGTAATCCCAGCACTTTGGAAGGCCAAGGCAGGCAGATCACAAGGTCAAGAGATTGAGACCATCCTGACCAACATGGTGAAACTCCGTCTCTACTAAAAAATACAAAAATTAGCTGGGCGTGGTGGCATGTCGCTATAGTCCCAGCTACTCGGGAGGCTGAGGCAGGAGAATTGCTTCAACCTGGGAGGCAGAGGTTGAGGTAAGCCAAGATTGTGCCACTGCACTCCAGCCTGGCACCTGGCGACAGAGCAAGACTCTGTCTCAAAAAAAAAAAAAAAAAAGTCCTACTCTGGCATTTGCTAGCTATGTAACTCTAGAAAATTTATTTCTAAGTTCATTTTTCTCATGAGTAAGACATGCATATTATCTACCCCACAAGACTGTTAAAAGTGGATTAAACAAGATAAAGTTTTAAGGCCAGTGCAGGATCTGGTAGGTTCTAGGGGACTCCAGGAACAACAGCCGCCATCACCACCACCTTCACCACCTCCTCCCTGTTCCCGAAACAAACGCAACCGAAAGTGCCTCCCTTTTCCCTTCCCTTTGGCTGCAAGACAACGGTACCACGTGGGATCTTCTATGAGATCTGAGCATTCAGAGGTTATGACCTTCAAATTCTTCCAGACTGCAAACTCAGAGAGCAGGAAATGAGTGTCACCGCCCACGTTCCCGGCCCCTGCGCTGTGCCTGGCACACACCACACACTCTGCAAATGTCTGTGAATGGGACTGCAGAGGAGCTGTGCTGTGTTTCAACCGGCAACTCCTGTGTGTTTAAGAAGACGCAAGGCTGCTGCCATGCAAAAAGTAGAACTGCTGTGCTGCTTTACACTTAGTTGACGTTTACTTATTTTATTTTATTTATTTTATGTTTTCGAGACGGAGTCTACCTCTGTCGCCCAGGCTGGAGTGCAGTGGCTCCATCTCCGCTCACTGCAACCTTCGCCTCCCGGGTTAAAGCGATTCTCCTGCCTCAGCCTCGTGAGTAGCTGGGATTACAGGCGCCCACCACCATGCCCAGCTAATTTTTGTATTTTTAGTAGAGACGGGGTTTCACCGTGTTGGCCAGGCTGGTCTTGAACCCCTAACCTTGTGATCTGCCTGCCTCAGCCTCCCAAAGTGCTGGGATTACAGGCGTGAGCCACTGCACCAGGCCATACTTTTATTTAATTCAGTGGAATGGAAGAGAGGTATGATCTTTCCCAAAAAACTTTATCCAAATTAGGGAAAAGTGCACCAGAGGCACCTACATTCTGATTTAGGGGACAAATCTAAGGTTCCTCCTGAATATATACAACCCCACAGCCCTAACAAAACCTAAGATTTCCACGTCTCTAAGTCATGTCTCATCACCCCAAAAATATTTAATTGAAAAACCTACAGAGTAACCATGCCCTAGGGAGCCCCATCATCTCCCCAGCTGCTACTTTCTATCTGGCTCTTACCTGGCAATACCCAAGAGTGCTTTCTCCAAGTTAAAAAATAATAATAATACAAAAGACAAAAGGCCGGGCGCCATGACTCACACCTGTAATCCCAGCACATTGGGAGGCCGAGGCGGGTGGATCAAGTCAAGAGATGGAGACCATCTGGGCCAGCGTAGTGAAACCCCATCTCTACTAAAAATACAAAAGTTAGCTGGGTGTCATGACGCACACCTGTAGTCCCAGCTACTTGGAAGGCTGAGGCAGGAGAATCACTTGAACCTAGGAGGCAGAGGTTGCAGTGAGCCAAGATCCTGAAACTACAGACACTCCAGCCTGGCGACAGAGTGAGACTCCACCTCCAAAAAAAAAAAAAATTCTGTAATCCCAGCACTTTGGGAGGCCGAGGCAGGTAGATCACGAGGTCAAGAGATCGAGACCATCCTGGTCAACATGGTGAAACCCCGTCTCTACTAAAAATACAAAAAATTAGCTGGGCATAGTGGCGCGTGCCTGTAATCCCAGCTACTCAGGAGGCTGAGGCAGGAGAATTGCCTGAACCCAGGAGGCAGAGGTTGCCGTGAGCCGAGATCGCACCATCGCACTCCAGCCTGGGTAACAAGAGCGAAACTCCGCCTCAAAAAAAAAATTCTTCCCCAGCTCTGCTTCGACGGTAGCCCGGGGATCTGAGGAGAAGCTGCCGGGACTGCCCATTTCCCCAGGATGCCCAAGCTATGAAGGACAGTGAGGGGATGAGTGGTCCCTGCACAAAGCCAGGGCCTGATTCCCAGGTTCTCTCAGCCTGACCATGTTAACTGTAATTGTTGGAGGCACGTGACCTGTCCAAGGGCTGCAA